CCAGATGTGACCTGCTGAGGTCCCTTCCAACCCTCATTTTCTGTGATTCTATGGGAGTGTCATGTCCAGGGTTTCAGGAGTTTTTCGACAGCCTCTTTAAGCTTACTGAAATCACAGGTATGTTGTTGTATTGGAGACTTAAGGTATCTCAGTGCTTCCAGTGTTAAAGCTTGTGACGTATTGCTAGTTCCGTGAGTTACCCAGGCATTTCTCCAAGGAGCAGCTTTATTAACAAAGGTGGGCAGCTTATTCAGAACAGCTGCTCATGCAGTGGCTGCCATGTGCAAGGGGCTTCCAGAAGTAAGGACATTGCTCCACGCTGAGTGCTTGACAGTCCAAGGCTCCTGTCCCACTGTTGCATCACCTAGGGCCAACCCTTGTGTCCCTCTGACTTCACTGGGCCTCTCGTACTGATCGCATTACAGAACTAATGCCTAATTTTAGGCACTGGCAACAAATAGTGCAGGGGAAAGATGTGGTCATGGCAGCCCAAGTGGCTGTCGATTTGCAGTCACAAAGTGAGTGTGCCCGGCCCTGTTTTATGTAGATTGCTTGCTGGGTTCTCTTTCCTTCCTCTTGTTGCTCCCTCCCCTTTTGTTACATCTTCATTTTGGTTCTGTCTTTGCAGGAGCTGCAGAGTGGCACCGCTCATTCAGTGTGATTACTGCCCGCTCCTGTTCCACATGGATTGCTTGGAGCCCCCGCTAACTGCTATGCCCCTAGGCAGGTGGATGTGCCCAAATCACATTGAGCATGTGGTGGTAAGCAAAGGCTATTCTTTACCATCTAGTATATGGACACCAAAGGGAGGCAGGTTCAGCTTTATTCATGCGCTGGGTAAAACAACTTGTGAGGTATTTTAAAGAGTTTGATTGCTTTGTTGTTAGTTTGTGTGAAGTCCTCTCCGAGCAACAACAATGACTGTGGGGAAACAGTGCAGTTGTCTATACATAGAAGTAAACAGACTGGGGAGTGGGAAGGATACTGGGAATCTTTTTCTTTGCCTATAGTACTCTTAGGTGGTTTTGCTCTGCGTATTCTTGTCTAAGTCTCCAAAAGGAATATGATCAAGTTGGTGAGCTTTCTTTTCCAGAGCCCAAAAGAAAGCGGCAGAGTAACCTCTTCTCTTTGCTAGCGTTTGCTCTGTCGCTCTCTGCTACTTCTCTGCAGCGTTCTAGATGTTTTCAAAAAGCTCTTCTCAGAATGAAGTGTTTCTTCTGGGCAGAGGGACTAGAGGGCTGATTCAGAGTTCGGTATGGGACCATTTATGGCCAGATTACTCGTCACCCAGTTGACAGGTAACCGGAGACACTGGCTGAAATAACATTGACGAATAACATTTTTAATGGGTCTCTGAAAGTTTTGCATCCAACTCTAGCCTTGTACCCTTTAACAGAAACAATTAGATCGTATTTCATACACACAGCACTAAAGTTGAGCTGAAGTTGGTGGCGGTACAGTACCAAATCTCTATGAAAGAGGCAGATACTTATTGGAAAAGGCATTAGGATGACACGCGGACATCTAACTACTGCAACATATCTGCTCACCTAGCTGAACCAGAAGAACATGACCTTGAGTAACCGGTGCCGAGTGTTTGACCGGTTCCAAGACACCATTTCTCAGCATGTTGTCAAGGTGGATTTCCTGAACCGAATCCACAAGAAGCACCCTCCCAACCGCAGGGTTCTTCAGTCGGTGAAAAGAAAAGGTTTGAAGGTAAGTCTAATTAGGCAGTCTGCTGATGGCAGGCTCCTATGCAATAGTGTAATAAAGATGGAGGATAACAAGTGCACCCCTTCTTACTGGCATGTCAGGGTCCACACTAGGCCTTGGTGCGGAGAGGGGATGGATGGACACTGAAGGATGTCACCTGTTGCCGCTCTTAGCGTGTAAAATATTTAACGTGTCCTTGTGCTGGCTTGTGCATTTCAAATGGCTCTCTAGAATAATTTTCCCTAGTGCAGTAAATGGTAGCTCTTAGAATTCTGCTCAGAGTACAGATAATTCTTGTAAAGAGGTTCAGAACAAGGTGGGAGGGAATCCTCATTAAAAAGCCTAGGCTAAGACTAGACACCCACCTCTATCCCCAGGGGCTGGATTGAGCATGCTAGAATCAAAACTGCCAAGGCAGAGCTCTCCACTTCATGCATGGAGGAGGCCTGCAGTGTGAAGCATTGTTCTTTATGTTGCATTCAGTGACTTAGAGGAGCTGAAACATTGTCTAGCTCACTTAGCTGAGGGTTCAGCCTTTATTTTCCCCTGAAATGTTGGAGGTTGTTCTCTTCTAAAGCAGAGCAAGGAAATGGAGTAAGGAGAAACTCTCCCTAGAACTAGAAGTGAAGCCAGGACCAGAGCTGCCTTGCATGCTCTGCTGATTTGACAGCGAAACAACCCACCAGGTCTAAATGAGGGAGAATGCTTAATAGGTTAAACAATTCACTGCAAAAATGCTTGCCTTCTGTAGCTTTGTATAAGCGAGCCATCTTGTGCTACATCCACTACACTAAGGGCTCATGTGAATGCCTTTGACTTCAGCATAGCTGCATCAGTTTGAGTCTGAATGTAGCTATGAACTTCCCCATTTCCTGGACACCAGCAACCAATAGACAACTCTGTCAGTGCTGATTAAAAATGGCTAATTCCAAAATGCACTATTACCTGTTCTAACATGTGCGATCTTCCCTCCTTGCCCACCAGGTTCCAGATGCTATCAAATCCCAGTACCAGTTTCCACCCCCCTTGCTTGCGCCTGCAGCAATTCGGGATGGTGAGCTGATCTGTAATGGGGTCCCCGAGGAATCCTCACAGAAGCACCTTCTGAACACTGAGCACTTAGCCAGCCAGTCAGAACAGCAAGAGGTAAATAGGGCGATGTCAGTGGTGCCTGCAGCCGTCTTGCTGTGGTGGATGGTCCCGCTCATCCGTTCCAGTTGTCTGTGGTCAGAGTACCTGTGCAGGGAGCTAGTCTGAGCCTTGTGAAATAGATGATGGCTTCTTCACTTCCCTCTTCCTTTCCCATCCTATAGCCTGAGTTTGGCCTTCCAGGCAGAGACCAAAAGCAGCTGGTTTGCCAGGGGCTTGGGGAGCACTGATGGTGCGTTTTGGGCTCAGAATTGGGATAGAAGGCTTTGTCGTTGGCGGCTGTTGGAGGACCGTGCTTTGTGAGCGTGATGAGACTTTGGGTCTGGCCTGTGGAGCTGACATTTGTTTCCTTTCTGTTTTTCAGTGGCTCTGTAGTGTTGTTGCACTCCAGTGCAGCATATTGAAACATTTATCTGCTAAGCAGATGACTTCGCTTTGGGACTCTGAACAGACAGAGAAGGCTGATATTAAGCCTGTTATTGTGGCAGATGGCTCGATCACCAACCCTTACCAGGCAGCTGACAAGGCACCCACACCTTCCCTTTATTCCATGTCGTGCACCTCAGGGATTACCACCCAGAATTCCTTGAGCTCCTCACAATCCCAGCAGACTGTACCACAGGAAGAGATCAACTGTAGCTCTTGTCTGGATAAACCCAAGAAAGGATCTTCTTGCGGGACTTCTAATGGGCCCACAGCCTCCGAAGTGAAAGTAAACGGTCCTCATTTCTGCGGTGTTTCCTCTGAGCCCTCTGCACAGCTGACTGACTCCCAGAGGCTAATTGGACCAGGTAACACGATCCCGGTTATGTCTCCTCGGCAGACGTGGCCCAGGCCTCTTACGCCCCCAGCAGCGTGTGGACTTCTGAATCACACGGCTGGAACCGTTGTGAAAACGGAGAACGTAGCAGGACCCATTTCTTGTGCACAAAGGGGTACCGTGCCAGTCACGAGCCTGCCTGCTTCCCTACCGAGCTCTTGTGCCAGCCTAGAGACCACCAGCACTTTGCAAAGAAAGAACGTTCAGACGCAGATAGGACCCCCGCTGGCTGCAGAACTGCGATCCGCTGGTTCCCCTTTAACTGCCACTAGGGCTCTTACTCCTCCGCAGGCGACGGGAGATGGATCCACACACAGATTCTGTTCACCAGCACCACCTTCAGGTGAGCATCTGGCAGGAGCGATCTGGGCCACGCTGTCACCGAACTGCTTTACAGACCTTAGACTTCCCTTCAAAGCCTGGAGATTTTTCAATGAGGTGACATAATTGCTGGGAAAACTAGTGTTATCTGGGCACAATATTAAAAGCTGCTTGCTGTATCCCATGGTTTCCATAACAGGAGCTGGGTTCTGTGCTGAATTCATTGCTACTGAATGCACCTCTGAGAGGGGAATACTTGCTCTGCTTCTCGAAACAGCTGATTTAGTCGGTTTTGGAAGGAGCTGAAGGTTCTAGAAATCCACTGTGATTTTAAATTGTTCAGCTGTTGTATTACAGTCACGGTTGTGATTTTGGCAGCTGTGACAGAAGGTGGCTGGAGTTTCCAAGTGGGTTACTCTAAAATCCGTATTTTTAATATCACGTTAAAGGTGATCAGCCAAGGATGTGAGAACTGCAGTGTGACCTTTGCGTATTTTTGCAAGGATTTAGATAAGCAAACCTACATAATATTACAAGTGACGCAGTTCAGGCCTTCCAGTGCAAACCTCCTCTCAGCCTCCTTGCGCATAAAAATTAGAATGACCTTCAATTATGCGATCACTTGCACTGTTTGAAAAATAGTATTGTACTTTTTTTTTTTTTTTTTTTGCACGACCTTAGATTGATTTTAACATACATTATCTCAGTTCCATGGCTAAAAGTCTCGTGTTCATGAATGGAACCTGAAAGGCCTGCTGCTGGTTAGAGAAAAAATGTCTAGTATTGTGGGCACCGACAAACTTACTAAGACAGATCTAAGAGTGGCCAGCGTAAACATTCAGCCCGAGATGCCCAGTACCATTATAGCAATGGAGACAGTGAATTTTCTGGATGCCTTGAACAGTAATGCTTGTTTAGATTGTTTTTCTTTCGCTTTCCTTGTCCTGTGAAACAGCTGAATCAGTAAAAGCGAATGTTCAAAAGACCACGAGCACCTGAAAACAGGTGATGGTTTTATGTTCTTACCTATGCAAGCAAGTGCTGCTCCCAACACAAGTTTCTGGGTGGGTGGGAGTTTTTTGTAAGTTTTCACTGCGCTCTGTTTGAGAGCTAGTGGATACATGCAGTGAGGTGAGGGTTGTGCACACAGACTTCCATGAAAAAAAAAAAAAAATTGACCAGCTGATAGGCGTAGTCTCTGTTGGTCTGAAGCAGCCTGCAAATGCTTGTGCGAAAACCGTGCTGAGGCACAAACAAAGAAATATATCCAGGGCTTGGCTACTGCTTTGTTTGGAAGCAGGGATGAGGAGAGAACATTTTTGCCAGATGGAAGAGGACCATAATGATACAGAAAAATGTTGTGTTTGTCCTTCTAAGAGCTTTGTAAACACTGGCTAATACTTGCAACTGTCTTTAGTAATGAAACTGTTAAGTCGCTTTAGATCTAAACTTAGGATTTTGTAGAATGCAAACGACCTCCAGCCTGGGTAAGAGGGTGGAGGGGAGGGGGGAGCCAGAAATGTGGGGAGAAAGAGGGAAGGAGGGGAACCAGATCTGTGGGAGTGTAAATGCCCTTGCAGCGTCTGCTGTTCTAGCGCTGCCCTGGGCTAGAGAATAAGGGAAACAACCGAATGTCTCTTCCAGGAGATGCCGATGGTGAGAAATTGCCATCTGATTCTTTGCCATCGGTTTTAAAAACCACATCCCTCTTTCGGCTTGGTATTTCTGATCTAGTCCCCTGCTGCATCACTGTGAATGTGACAGTGTGCAAATGTCACCGCACTCCACAGGTAATAGGATTGCACTTGTAATGAGTTACAGGCAGGTCTTTACTCATAACTTGTGCCGTGTTCCCTGAGCACAGATGAGAGCTTTCAGAATCCATCAGCAAATGCACGCCACGTCTACTAGGAATCTGTCACAGATCGAGTGCAGGAACGTTCAGCTTTTGTGATTAAACAAAGACATTCCTGACTTAAATTTGGCTAATGTATAAAACAGCAGAGAAAAATTGCTGCCCAGGCTCGGTGTCAGTGAGATCTCTAGCTACCGGGCCTTAGCTCTCGTGCTGTTAAGTAACACCTTAATTTGGTTTCCAGTACAGTACCAGGACTTGATGCTGTGTCTTCCTTTAGAGCAGGCTGAGCTCTGCTGTGTTCCTAGCCTGGGGTGGGGTGCATTCCTCTCCACAGGAAAGAATACTGATTGTGAGGGCAGGTACCGCTCCTCTTGACTGAGGCCTCTTCCAAAGCATGGCTGTTTAACAAGGTGTCCTCATGTTGTGTGGCCTGCCAATGAGAAGTGCAGCTGGAGGGCTGGGTGGAAGCTGCTGGCTACTGGGTAACTCTCCTGACACTTGTGCCCCTTTTCTCTCTGTAGACGGTAAGGTCAGTCCCAGCACCTTATCCATAGGAACCGCTTTAACTGCCCCCTCATCGTTCACTTCAGGCTCTGCCGCTATGATGGACCTTACCAGTTCCCTGAAAGCATTAATGGATGGTAATGGTGGTGAGTATGTGTTTCCTCATTGGTCTCTGCCTAACCCAAGCGCTCTATTCAGTAAAGCGTTCCACGTACCCTGGAAGGGGAGGCTTCTCTCGTACGTGCAGGCGCTGAGGAGGGCCATGCTGCAGTCCTCCCAGGCTTCTGCCTGTCACCCCGTTGCCATCATAACGCCTGGCGTGTGGGTTTCTCCATGTTTTTGGAGGTGTGATGCAAGCTGTTATGGTGCAGATCTCTTACAGGTGGCATTTGTATGCTAGGGACACCCTGGCTCTTCTATGCCATGTGATCCACAGCTGCTTCTCTAACTGCTTTCTTCTGAGGACCCAGTTCTAGATTCTGTGCTTCCTCCTGTTCCCAGAGACCTGGGCTGCAGTATTCTTAAGGGCGAGACTTGAGTGGGTTCTGCTCCTGTCACTTTTCCCCCAGAGCCGGCAAGTCTTCCTAGTCATCTGTCGCTTTGATGGTGGGAGATCCAAGCCTCAGTGCGTGCCCCAGAGAGGAGAGGACTCTTGCACAGCCCTCAGCCTTGGTATCAGTCTGCTTCTGCAGTGGGGAAGTAGCCTGTCTTGTACTACTGGTTGGACCTTGTTCCATTTGGCAAGCATTGCTTGTCTTGGCCCTTCCAGTGTTGGCAGTGGGGCCTAATGCTAACCCCCGTGCCTCCGCTGCATTTCTTCATCATTTTACCAGCATTGTTGCTGTTGAGGGCATTCTAGCTCTAATGCCTTGATTTTTAAATAGGTGTTTCCTTAGCAGAAGGCAAATTTCTTGCAGGTCTGCATAAATGTCAGCCTTGTCTATAGTTATCGGCTACATGAGGGTTTGTTTTTGTTTTTTATGTAACAGATTTTCCTGAGTTCCCTGGTTTCTTTTAAGTGATGCATCGAACCTTGCCTGATAGAACAAGACCCTAAAAGTGCAGCTGTCATTTACTCACTGTTAGGGTACATCTGCTCAAACTCTTATTCCCAGCTGGTTTGTTACTGGGGTCCCAGCAAACCCATACTTGCTGCCCAAAGAGCCTGAAATGCACGTGGTCTCTGTGTCGGACATCTCTCAAGTCTGAACATCACATGGTAACTGCTTTTCCCCCCAGCTTGTTCCACTCAGAGGCAGGCCTCCCTTTTACTGTGTGGGCTGCAGCTTTCCAACATAGCACTTCTTGTCCACATTGAGTGCTAGGAATGAGTGTAGAGAAACAGAGCATCGGGCACTTAGACTCTTGCTGTAGAGTGGCTGTCTGTAGTAGCCCTACTCGTACAAATGGCAAAATGTAGACTGTTAAACCCACAGCAGATCGACTGTCACCCTTTCCATGAAATGACTCACTAACTGCTTTTTATTTATTAACAGAGATTGAGATAAATATGCTGGATGAGCAGCTGATCAAGTTTCTGGCCTTGCAGAGAATACATCAGCTCTTTCCTTCCAAAGCTCAGTCTATAGCGGGCAGTGTCAGTTCCCATCAGCCAGCTCCTATGGGAAACCACATTGAAGGTAAGAGCAGCCCTAGAATAGTCCCTTTGCACTGAGCCGTGGCTTCCTTGGCACTACCCTGCCTTCAGAATAGGCTGTTCGGGGAGATCCTGTCTTCCGGTATCTTGGAGACGCCGTGTATCCTCCATCCTTCCTCCCATGCCCTGGCTCTGATTCATCATTGGTTAGAAGCCTCCTTGTTGAGCATTCTGCACATGTGGCAGCCAAGGCAGCTGCTCCGTCCCCCCGCACTGCAGGCAGTGCCGCTCATCAGCCTGCTCTCAGCAGAACTCTGGACCCCAGGTGTTAAGCCACATTGCACCATCTTGATGTTGCACAAAAAGGAAGCCCCAGCTCCATCCCGTGGCCTGTTTGTGAGCAACTCAGGGGAGGAAATGCAGCGGCTTTGAAAAGCCAGCTGCTGCCCCAGGAGCTGAGGGTGGGTTGAAAACTGGTCTGTGGACTTGAAAGAGGAAAGTAGGCTGGGGCACTGAGGGTGCGGTTGAAAGGCCCATGGAAAACTTCCTTCCAAACTAGTAGGTGTTCCTCTGCAAAGCTGCTTCTCACTGCAGCTGGAGAGAAGCGATCCGATCCTTTGCTTATAGCTTGTGCCGGGGCTTGAACTCTGCCTTTCATTCCCCTTGTGCTCACTGCATCGGGTGCAGTTCCCTTCCACTTTGGGTTCTTGTCAGCTGCTGGCCTTTGGCAGGTTAAGCTTCATTTGCTGTCCAGAGCAGGTCAGAGGCCTGTTCTGCTCTGGCCGAAGCTGTGGGGTGGGTCCCCCAGAGGTCTCTGGGAGTGCACTAGTGTCCGTCGGCCTCTAGACTTGCGTTTGTTGTGTGTGCGCGTCTATGTTCATCTCGGCGTTGGTTCTAAACATCCTGTGTCAGGACTGACCTCTTCTAGTGCTGCTGCAGCTGGAGGCTGCTGTGGGACACGATGCTGGGCTGCAACTAAACAATGGGGAGCAGCACACGCTACCTTAGCGCACTGCATCCTCTGAAGGGAAACCCATGGTTGCCTTTCCTCTGCTTCTTCCCTGGAGCCCTCAGACCCTGGCACCTCCTGCACCCCCGTCCTCACTGGGACTCTCTTCTTTTGTCTTGCTGATGGAATGCTTGGGATGAAGTCTCCAGATTGGTGGTAGCCAGCCTCAGCTGGAGAGCCGCAAGCCAAGCTCTGACCTCCCCAAGTGTCACTCTAATCCCTGCCCTTCCCAAGGTGTACCTGGTACTCTGCACCCTGCTGCGCTGGAGTGTAGGTTTGCATGCACAGCAGCTTCCTGTGCCCCTTCTGGCATGCATGCCGTGCTATGGGTTGGCTACCCCTGCTCTTGATGACCCCAGCTGGCTTAGCTGCCCTCAGCTGCTGAAATGGCCTCACAGGCAGGACATCTCTGTGCAGAGAGGATTCTGGTACAAACAGAGCTTTCCATTTCACCCTTCCACATCCCACGTGTGTCTCAGCCCCTGGCCAGCCTCCTAGCCATCGGTGGAGAATTGCATGTGCTGTGGCTTGTCTGTTGTGCCTTTGACAGTCTCAGCTTTGTTAATAGTTTCATGCTTTCCTGTAGGAAAGCCATGGAGGTGTCTACAGGCAGGAGCTGTGTTGAACTGTGTGCACATGCTTGGGGATGAGTTTGTGGGGGGGGGG